GAAAAAATAAAAAAAAATAAAAAACTTATTTTGGAGAGGGGGTGGGGTGGATTGGTGAGGGTGAGGAAGGTTGAGAAGGAGCTTTAGAAAATGTTTTCCCTTCTCTTGATAAGGAAAATGAATTGATAAGGAAAATATTTTCCAAAACATTTAAGCCAACCAAACATGGGAAAATTGAAAAACATTTTCCGAAAAATATTTTCCTTCATACCAAACACACCCTTAATGATATAATTGTACAACCACACTAAAATCATGATATACATAAGACCACAAGTATATCACATTTCGACCTAAAGAAGAGATTTGGAGGGTGTTTGGCTAAGCTTATAAGCTGGTTTGACCAGCTTACAAGTACTTTTCGGCTTATCTACGCGTTTGATAAAGTTAAAAGTGCTTATAAGTCAAAAATAAGCCAAAAGCCATAAGCTGGTTACCCCCAGCTTATGAATTTTTAGTTTATAAGCATTTTAAGTTTGGCCTAGATTTTTACTATTTTATCCTTAAAATATTTTCTTTTTAGAACAAAACGTCTACATCGATACTCACAACCTCAAGTATTCAACCTAACCCCCCCTTCCCCTCCCCTCCCCCTCAAGTCTGCAATTCTCATTGACTATTTAAGATAAGCAAATTCTCTATTCCTTTGCATATTTATATCTATGTGATTGTGTATTAATCTTTGAGCTGTATGTAATAAATGCGGACATATCAAATTTTTGGTGTATTGCTTTCGAAGTGTTGTGGTGATGAAGACAATGTTTGTTTCTTTTCAAACATTTGTCAATTTATTAATTATTATAAATTATGATTATATGCTTATCATAAAATAAATTATATTTACCATAAAAATTATATTATCTAAGCACAGTTGTATTTAAAATAAAATATTTTGTATTTGAATCGATATGGAATCTAAAATTTTGAAGAAATTACGCCCGTATAAGTGTAAATAATTCTAATGTTATTTAAGTCATTTTAACAGAAATCGATATCAGCATTTTTTTATCAAATACTGTAGCAACTTATTATCAATTTCAACACTTGTACCCAAACATGTAATCGCTTATTTATTAAATTTGTTTCATTACTTAAAAATACTTTTCAGCATCTAATGCTTATCAGCTACTTCAAATAAGCTAATCCAAACGGGCTCTGTTGAGTCACGGCATCAAATAAGCATATTCTAGAAAAACCGGCAAGATAATCAAATGCGGTGACTTCCATCATCGTCACGTGAGCTTCAGTACTAAGTCATTCAATTAAGACATCGACCACTTGAATATTGACACGTAAGATAATTTTACTCTTATATAATCTATGTTAGGGAAAATACCATAAGCATATACGTGCATTCTAGAGTTTTCTTCTGATCCCCAAATTGCTCTCTAGGGTTTCGCCGCCTCTATCTATCAGGAAATCATGCCTCGCCGAAGCTCTGGTAATTACCATATTCCATCTACTTTTTATCTTTTTAATTTAGATCTACTTTCCACATTGGCTATATTTGTAGTTCTTTTTCATTGGCTTAATTAGATGAACAGTTGAATATTCTCCATTGAGCTCAAGTTATGTGATAATCCTTTCTGCTAAGGTTGATTGTAGTTCTGGCTTTGTGGGTTTAGAAGAAAATATGCTTCAGTTATATTGAAAGCCTAATTGCAACATTGATTTTTCGCATTATTATTTTCATCGAAGGCCCTGTGTTTATTTGAGATTACGTAGACACTATTTTTATCATTAATTGTGTCCGTTTGATTTGTATTGAGTTTGAGGCTAGAAATTTTGACATGAGATTCACCAATTCCTAAAAGGTGGGGTGGTGGTGGTGGTGGTGGTGGTGGATTTAGGCTGTTTTCTTACATTTTTAAAGGAAGCGGATACCATTGAATTAGCTGTGGATTACATTGGAGCCTCTTATTTTGATTTCTCGAACAAGAGAAAGTAGGGAGAGGGTGCGCAGAATTGCTTAAAGCCTCAATTATACAAATTTTTTTTCCGTCTTAATTCTCCATCAATGTTTGCATATGACACTTTACCTTTTGTGCTGTAGTCTTCTGTTTGCTAAAGGAAATAAGGCTAACTTTTTGTAGCTCCTTTATTCTGGTTGATGAGTTCCAATTTTCCTTGTTTCGTTGTACAGGAAGATCTGCTCCTCGTCCTGCCCCTCGTGCGGCCCCTCGTCCTGCTCCAGCTCCAGGTTGGTTTTTTGGTTGTCAAACTTTTTACCTCACGGTTGGTTGGCATTCTTTTAGTTGATATGGTTTAATCTATTTTCCTTGCTTGTGCTAATTCATATTCTATCTCATTTTTTGCAGCACACCATGCTCCTCCACCAGCTCCTATGCAAAGTAGCGGTGGTGGATCCATGCTTGGTGGTATTGGTTCTACCATAGCTCAAGGTATGGGTATATCCTGCATTATATAAAAAATTACTCCCTCCGGTTCACAATAAGTGTCCAATTTACTTTTAGCACGCCCATTAAGAAAATACTCAATTCCATACAAAAATACCTACTATGACTAAACTACCCCTAATTAAACATTTAATGTGAGGAGTAAGAAAACTTTTTAGGGAAATGTACATAGGGGTTATTTTGTAAAAGCAAATTGAATTCTTTCTTGATTACATAACTGGACACTTATTTTGAACCAAAATGAAAAAGCAAATTGGACACTTACTGTGAACCGGAGGGAGTTCATCAGTTATTTTGTTTTCGAAGTTGCTCATAAATGAAAGAAAAAAGATTAGAAAAGAAGGGAAGCCTCGCCTCGCTCGCTCGGCTTTGGATCCGGTCATATGATTGGTTGATTAATTTCTGTTACAATTCTCCGGAAAAAAAAATTGCTCATAAATGTCCCTTGTTTGTTTTACCATTATGTCTTACAGGGATGGCCTTTGGTACTGGAAGTGCTGTGGCACACAGGGCTGTAGATGCGGTCATGGGTCCACGTACCATTCAACACGAAGCTGTTGCTTCCGAGGTACCTGCTGCAGCAGCTCCTACAACCATTGGTGCTGGGTCTGATGCTTGCAGTATGCACTCTAAAGCATTCCAAGACGTAAGTGTTAACTTTGCACCTTTTAACTACTTTTACTTTGCAAATTTGAGATTGTTCTTTCAGCCTTCATAGTCAGTATGACATGTCTTATTCTCACTAGAAGATTCTGATGATGTCATTCTTCTTTGGTTTATCTTGCAGTGCATCAATAGCTCTGGAAGCGACATTGGCAAGTGTCAATTCTACATGGATATGTTGTCCGAGTGCAGGAGGAACTCGATGCTGAATGCTTAAGCTTGTTGTGCCTCATTTTTTCAACTTTGAACTCATTCTTAATCTGATTGTTGAAACAGCGATGGAATTATGATAAAATGGCTGGTATTGATGGAGCAAGTGAACTTGGTTTTTGATACACTTTTGGGTCAAATAATTTATGCTGAAATATGAACTTTATAGACATCCTTGATTTTCCTTTTCAGCATGCTTTATATGCTATAATGTGCTTCCTTTGGCTTTTCTTGATTACTCAGTAAAGTTTTAATTGCGACTAGCTGATTTACTAGAGAATGCCACGACTTAATAGCTTTTGGTGTTTGAAATACTGTAACCTGTGGAACTCACTGTCATTGGTTTGGATGGCAACACCTCGATTCCAAATACATTGTTAGGTATCTGGGGCATGTAAAAGATTGCATACCTATGATTGCATACCTATGATAATAACTTTGCGTTTCGCTTAAAGCGCTTTATTTTTAGTTCTGAGCGCTGAATTGGATAATCAGACGTCTGTTGCACAGATTTGGGTCATTTTCTGTGGTGCATGGCGTACGTACGTTTTGTTTTATCCTGTATCAACTTGCCGTTGTATTATTGTTAATTGGTATGTTATGTGGGTCACGGACAAGTTCAGTAAAAAAATTTATTATCTAAATGAGCAAATAAGAGAAAAACTAACGGAGAAGATTACTTGGATTTTATGAGCCCGTTTGGATTGACTTAAAAAAAAGTAGCTTTTCAGCAGAAATAGCTTTTAAGCCAAAAAGCAATAAGTTGGGGTTGTCCAGCTTATTGCTTTTGGCTTGTTTTAAGCAGTTTTTAACTTATTTTAAGTACTTTCTGACTTTCCCAAACACTAAAAAAATCTAAAAAGAGCTTAAAAACTGATTTGCACAGCTTAAAAGCCAATCCAAACACCCTTATATCCACTATGCTTTATCATAGACAATTACATATTTCCCATTAGTTAGAGAACTTTAGTATGACAAAACTCTTCAAGTTGCAGCAATGTATTCTGATAGTCTACCTTGCACCACTCAATGCTAATACCACAGAAGGTCATCTTCTGTTTTCACGTTCCTCTCTATTCACGGATCCACATTTTTTCTTATGAACAAAGGCGAAAAATTCACTCAATGTCGATGACAGTGTTTTTGGCCATTCAGCAACACAGTCAAAGATGTGTGTTCATGATTTAAACTATCCTTGTTATTTACTTATTTATTTATGAGTAGGCAAGACATATTTTTGGTCAGCCACCAAAAACAACAGATTGAGAATAAGAATCAAGGAGTAGGTAGAATATAAAAGCTAGAGTGCAACTGCAATTGACTTATCATTCTGACAATTAAAAATTGAATATTAGTTTTGTTGATGAGACGAGGCATCTAGTGCGCCTTTGGTATGCCTCTTAACTAACATTTCCTACGTATATTCTGACTGATTCCAATTTCTCTAATAGATAGTATTTCAATTAGGGGCAATCAACTACGTTTTTCGCCTTCAATTTTTTTTTATATAAAAAAGTATACATATTTTATTAAAAGTCTATCCGCCTAACTTTTTGAGATGCAAAGTTATTAATTTTTACTTTTATAGTCAATTTATTCTTTTTTTTTTTTTATCAAATGATATAATAGGTAGTCAATTTGATCTATCTTGAGACAAATAGGTAGTCAATTTGATCTATCTTGAGACTGTTGATTTTAAGTAAGATAAAATAAATTTTAGTTTAAAAATTTATCTTTTCCTTACTATTTCTAATTCGAGAAATAAGTCCAAATAATGACTACTATGTTTTAAAAACTTTCAAGATTAAGGCAACATTTCCAATTCAGATTCTCATCATCTAGTGATGCTTTTTTTTTTTTACCACTAAAGAGAAAATTAAAATATTTTCATACACTTCGAATTGCTTGATCTGCTTTGAAGTGAAAAAATTACTTGATCTACAATTTATTTAATTGATATTGTAGACAATAAATTTGCATCAAGAAAAGAGACTAAAAAAATATTGCAAAAGTTATAGTATTTTATTTCAAATAATTTGCGTGTTATAATCTGTATGAATAATCTAATTCTTCTTTCCAACAGTAAATAAAATAAATTATGGGGCCTTTGAGCTTGATCCTGAATTAGAATTAGATCTATCTCCACAAATGCCTTGATTATCGTCACGAACAGTAATTATGTTAACATCAAGTAATCTTGATCTTGAACGCTTTATATTTGATTTCGTTCTTGATCTTGAACTTGATTTATTCAACTTGAACTTGATTGTTTGAAACTTGAAGCTTGTAGAGAAATTTGCAACGTTTGATCCACAAGCTCTCTCTTTCTTCTTGTTATGATATATGGTCTTTCTTTCTGAGTTATGAAGACCTCTATTTATAATCGTGGGAGGGGTGTAGCTGTGTGATTTGATTGGTTGACTTGAATCATTAATCAATCAGATTAAAATAGTGTCAAGGCCTAATTTGATTGGCCAAAATATGTCACTTGCACACATGACGCAATTTTATTGGCCTTTTAATTTTGGCATGTTATGTCATCTTGACGTGAAGCATGATCCTATTGGCTCTTCTGTTTGACTTGGCGTGTCACTTCATTTGACACGTGGCACCAAAACTGGACATCTTGGAAGATGATATCTTGGGCTTAATGAAGTGGGCTCATTACAAGATGACATCGTGTAGCCCAATTAAATGGGCTAGCCCAAAAGATTTGGACTTATTTATATAATCCATATGTATTGGACTTATATAATTGATTTTTTCATTCCTATACACTATACAAAAAATGTCCCTGTTTTGAATATTACCCGACCTGGACACATTTTACCTACAGAATCTATAAATATCGTTTAAAAAGGAATCCTTTCTGCTGTAACATTCCTTTTTAGGAGCGAGAATTTGGGATAGTAAAGGATTCTATCGAGATCTTTTGAAACGCATTACTCGCCATTAATTAGGCCTGAAATTATTCCGTTGCTCTCACAATTTCGACACTATATTTTGCGGATATTCTGGTTTCACAAGCAAAATCGAATCAATTATCTATAATTGTACTGAATCACGCGCAATAATATCGAAAATAGCTATTATGCTTCAGCTAGATGGTAATTGGGATAGCTTTGGGAGATACATGGATTTTCATGTCGACGAGATTGTAATCAGGGAAGATGCAACTTATAGCCAATTGATTTCTACAATCAGAGCATAGAATGATTGATACATCAGAAAAAATAATCGAAGTCAAAGTACATTGTCAACGAAAATTGTCCGCCAATGGAAATTAGGAACGATATGGGAGTTCTAGTCTACATGGAGACGAAAAAGGAAAACCGGAGCTTTGGAACGTATTCGCTATGTATAACAGTGCGGAATTTTGATTGGAATGCAGTATGTCTATTTCGAACGAAATTGCAGGTTTGATATGTTATTCCAGTGGTGAAATTTGTTTTTTTCTCATGCGTGCTACAATGTTTCTACAATATTTCTACAAAAAATCTACTCTCTCTATTCCAGTTTATGTGAACCTATTTCCTTTTTGGTCCGTTCCAAAAAGAATGAACTCTTTCTAAATTTGGTAACAATTTAGCTTAAACTTACAATTCTACCCTTAATGAGAATATTTTATAACTACACAAATACTCTGGGCCCCTTTTTGGCTTGTTTAGGACCACAAATTCCAAAAGTCTTCATTTTTTCTTAAACTTCGTTCCCAGTCAAACATATTCACATAAATTGAAACGGAGGGAGTACGTAACAAGTGTAAATCAAAATATGTATTGAATTTCATTTGTTCTACAAATTTTCTAAAATATTTCTAAATAAAAACTACATAACATGAGTATATCAATTTTTATGAATATGTAAGTCCTGGATTTTATTGGTCTACAATTTTTCTACAAAATATCTACAATATATTTCATAACGGTATTTAGCTTTAATTGATTGCAGGTTCATCTGGAACACTGAAGTTGATTGATATGCCAACATCTCCTGAGATAGTGGAATATGAAAGTATAATCATAACAGAAAATACACCAACTGCTGTTGAAGTAGGCCAGGTACACAAAGACAAGAAATAATTGCTAGTGCAATGAAGCACTATTCTATCATGAACAAGTTCCAATTTAGAGTGAAAAGGTCTAGTGCTAGAAGGTATGAACAGTTCAATGGTCAAAGATCATGTCTTTGTTTATTTTGTAGTTTATTTGTATTTTTTTAGATAATTTGTAGATACTTCGTAGTTTTTATGTATACAAATTGTTAAATATAATATTTTCATTGTTTAAATTGTTTTTGTTCTGTAGCTACTGCCTGGTATGTGTTGGGGAAGATTGTACATGGCACTTCAAGTCCACCAGCATAAATGATTCAGTAATGTTCAAGGTTCGAAAATTCAACAGCTTGCACACATGCTCTTTGATGGACAATACCTACATACAACGGAAACCTACTTCCATGGTAGTGGGTAGCATGGTTATACCAAAATATGCTGATCCTAAGACAGTTTACACACGAAAAGACATTCAAACTGGTATGTTGTCTGTACACGACGTGAACTTACATACATGTAAGCTTGGAGAGTAAAGGAAAATGCATTGGAATTTTTGAGAGATCATCCTGCTGACTCCTACAGTCGATTGGCTAGTTATTTGTATATTCTGGAGAAGGCTTATCCGGGGTCTGTAGTTAAATTGAAGAAGACCGACGATAACTGTTTCTTGTATGCATTTGTCGCGATGAGTACGTCAATCAAGGGTTGGAAATATTGTAGGCCGGTTATAGTAGATGATGGGACCTTCTTGAAGTCAGCATGCTGAGGAATAATGCTAACAGCTAGAACAATGGATGCATCAAGTATTGTAGATTTATTGTAGATATATTGTAGAAATTTTGTTGTTTGTATGTATTTCCTTTATCTACAGTTTTGTGATGGAAATTGAATTCCTTTTTTCCACATATAATAGGTAGCATATTACCACTGGCATATGCTGTTGTTGATTCAGAAAATGACGCATCATGGAAGTGGTTTTTTGAGCAATTCAAACATGCATATGGTGAAAGACCAAATATGTGTGTTGTTTCTGATCAGAATGAGAGTATCTTAAAGACAACTTCTATTGTTTATACCGGCATGCCACATTATTCTTGCATGTGGCATATTTGGATAAGTTCAAGAAAGATCATCTAAAGTTAAGTGAATTGTACTTTGCCACGGCATGATCATAC